TTTAGTAATGCCAACATAATAAAAGAACAATATGTCTCTTATATATGATACATCTATATATTGACTGTTAAATATACTTGTCTTTGAATGAAGACTTAAGGTTATAGGAAATATAAATAACTGCAACTTGACTCTTTACTGAAGCTTATTTGACACAGAGTTCAAGCTCACTGCTGATAAATATAATACTAACTACAATATTAGCCATATTTATGTTACCAAAGTGAGATGACTTTAGTCTCATGGATAGCATTAGCTAATTGTTTGCTAACTACTCTTAAAATGACTGTTCAGTACAGAAATGAGGCCCAACAATCATGTTTTTACAGTCCCGTGATCTTAGCCGCAGATACTCAACTAATTAAAGTGATGTCATGAACAAAACTGAAGGAACAAAAAAATATTTTTCCTTCATTTTTGTCAAACAATGCTGTATGAAACGTTTCTTGCGGTTAGATCCATGGTTGCCAGGCAACCTGAGCAGCGCGACGAATGCTAGATTGTCCCATTTCACAAGGCTCTCACTTCCACACTTCTCGTACTTTCTAATACATGCCGTACGTAGTAGGCGAACTGAGCGTAATCCGAAGCGTGTGGTCGCTGAATTAGGACACAGCCTCAGACAGTCTTCTCATGTCTATTCACACACAGTAATGTTGCAGGTGAACATCCCAACTTATGATAGGGCTCTACATCGGGACACAGCAGCTAGAAGAATCTGAGAAATTCACCTACCTCGGTAGCGTGATTTCCCATGACGGTGATGCGGAGGTGGACGTCAAATGCCACAGTGAAAAGGCAGCTGCAGTATTTCAGAGGATGAACAAGATCTCGTCCTCCCCCACCATCTTCCTCAAGATCAAACTCCATTTGCTTAATTCAATCGTGATCCCAACTGCCATTTATGCCAGCAAGACTTGGAAGGTGTCGGCCTGCATCAACACCAAGCTTGATGTCTTTCAGCAACTATGTCTTCGCCAGATTCTTAGGATCTGCTACACCGACCACGTCACCAACGAGGAGATCCTGCGAAGGAGTGTCACAGTTAAACTTCACGACATCGTTGCACGCAAAAGGCTCCAACTGGCCGGCCATATCCTTTTCATTTCATTTACTTATTTATTTCACACTTGGTAGAACAGTTTCCACAGTTAGTTCTTTCAGACAAACCAACTACACTTTCTATCAGTAAAGCACTGCAACCATGTGTGAAAAGGAAGGAAGAAGGATATATTCTTTTTAAACCCTGGCCCTATCTACAATCCAACTTATATTGCAAGTGTGCACCAAAAGTCAAGGAACAAACTAACATTAACATTTATCTCCAGTCCTAACTCAAACCAAACAACAAATTTACAATCAGAATATACCACTCCACATAGTAACAAGGAGAAAAGACAAGTAAATAAAATTAATGAAGTAAAAAATAAAAATAAATGATGGATCCTTTTTCAATTAATTTCATTCACATTCTCCATGCTGGGTTATCGTTTTAGACATTTT